ATAATTTATTCTTTCAATTAAAAGTGGTTCCTGCGAAGCCATCCCAACATGCAGAGATATGGTTGGAGTCACAGAGATTGCAGGGAAAGGGAGTGTGGCATAGGGACTGAAGACAGGCACTGTGTTGTCAGAAAAACCCAGGTATGCATCACAGGTATGCATCGGCACTTGGCTCTTGAGTCTTTTTTGTTGTTGTTGTTAAATTAATTCTCATCTGAGGACATTTTTTCCCATTGATTTTTAGAGAGAGAGTGGAAGGAAGGGGAAGAGACAGAGAGAGAGAAACATGGATGTGAGAGAGACATATCAATTGGTTGCCTGCCACATGTGATCCGACTGGGGCCAGGGATCGAGCCTGCAACCAAAGTACTTGTCCTTGACCGAAACTGAACCTAGGACCCTTCAGTTCTCGGGCTGACACTCTATCCACTGATCAGCTAGGGCAAGTGAGTCTTTTTATCCTCAGTTTCTTCATCTGTTAAATGAGGATAATGAGCATACATGTCATCTCACAGAGGTGTTAGGGAATAAAATGAGTATATTTAGCGTCTCCCAGCCACATATTAATAAGCACTCACTAGAGATAATTCACAGCAGTAACAGGGGCAAATGAGATTAAATGAGGTTAGACTATTTAGCCTATAACTATTAAAAAAAACAACAGGTAATTCTGTGTCTGTTAAGCAACCTTTAGTAGAAGAATCTCTGCTAAAATAAGTACTAGGTTTTCAATCTGCATTTACGATATGACATTGATGGTGCCTTTATTAACTGGTAATACTAATTGCTACCATCTATTTTATTGAATGGCTTCACTTAATTATCTCAGTAACCCTGTGAGGAAGATGATATTATTCCAATACACAGCTGAGGAAACTGAGTCTCAGAGAATTCCAGAGACCAGCTGACTGACAGGGAAGAACCAGTGATAGGATTTAAACCTTAGTCTCAGTTCAAAATAGGTAATCTTTCAAATAGTTTACAGAAGCTCAGGCTATATTACCAGGAAGCATCTGGTATGGAAGAAAGCAGCAAATGTTTAATTAATGTTCCTAGCAGGGAGATGGTCAGACCATGGATTTGGCTATTTTCCCCTGGAAGGGAGTATATGGAGATAGACATAGACATAGATACAGAAGTAGGTGATGTAGATGTAGGTATCAATATAGATACAGGTATAGATATAGAGAGATATAGATAAATAGACATAGTATAGATATAGATATATAGATAGAGATAGGTATATGTAGATAGAGATAGGTAGCTATAGATAGATATAGATAAAGATATAGATATAGATATATAAATGTAGATAGAGATAGATGTAGATATAGCTATATATATATATATATATATATATATATATATATATATATAGATATATATATTTTAGTATAAGGATTTCAAAATACATAATATTTCATGCTTGACAATGTACTTGAAAAAGTTGTTGAGTCTTTGGACAGAGAGTCGACCAACCAATAAATGACTGCATGTTTTAGCACGGCAGATGACACAATAAATGCCTATTTCTTGCTAGATGGCCACATATACATTCCCCCAAAAGATGCATATGTTCTTGTCAGTATATAAAATGCAACAGCCCTAAAGAGACAGAAATGCTTTGCTCTTTGTTACTCAGTAATTCCCTGAATACCCACAGCCTCTAGTTCTGTTTTTAAAAGGTTAAATGGCTCTGAATCTGTCTGCTAGGCTCATAAGGAGCTATGCAGTGCTCTGGCTTGCCAGGAAATTTAATTTTCTACTCAAATCAACCGATTGTGCATTAGGGGAGGAAAAGAAAAGCTTCTCTCCATGACTCAGTTGGTGGGGGTTGGGGTGCAACTACAAAAATGAGACCAGATGCTGAGAAATGCAGCTGGCGATTCTCACATGTCTAGCCCATGGAGCCAATCCATGTCCGATCAGAACCGTGTGGGGCTCACCTTGTGAAGAACACATCCCAGCCCTGTTGTAGATGCTTTGTCACAGCATCTGCCCCTTCCTTGGGAAGGACCACAGATGTCAAGGAACTGCCACCTGCCTGACATCTATCAGAAGGATAGATCCGTCCGTGTCATCAAATGGTACTTTATCTGTTCATCTCTTCCTGGTAACACACACCCAAATTCCCTTTGATTTGTCCCCCCCATCCCCAAAAATGCTCTCAAGTTGGGCAATTGTTACAAAGCAGCTTCACGCCTTCTTTATGCCTGCCATTCCTACCATGACAATCATAAAAATAACAACAAAACCCAGCCCGTGTGTCTCAGTGGTTGAGTGTCCACCTATGAACCAGAAGGTCACGGTTTGATTCCCGGTCAGGGCACACACCCGGGTTGCCAACTTGATCCCCAGTGTGGGGCATGCAGGAGTCAGCCGACCAATAATTCTCTCTCATCACTGATGTTTCTATCTCTCTCCTCTCTGAAGAGATCAATACAATAATATTTTAAAACATAACAACACAATAATAAGAACAATCAACTACAATGACAACCGTCACTCGATGCCATGTGAACTGGAATGTTACCAGTGACTGTCCATTTGAACATCAGTAAAGGAATAGGTTATCAAATGTACAAAAACCTGTGGGGCGACGATGACCCTGGATTTGTACCCAGATCTGCCGACTGGAGCTCACTGTCACTATGGTACGAAATATCCCTCCAACCCCCTCGCTAGCTGATTAAGAACAGGCCTCCGCGCAGGAAGTCAGTTCCTGCTGGGACCTCGGATTTCATGTTTGGAGTTGATTGCCCTGATATTTGAACTCCTCGCATCCCCGAAGGGCCCTTGGCTTGGCCTAGTCCCGGGCCCCCTGTGTGTTCCCTGCTAACAAGAGCAGAAATCTTGTCAAATCAAGTGCCAAACAGGCCCCAGGACAGGCCTCTCAGTTGGACCAATCTTGCTTATTTCCTTCACATGCTGTCACTTACACTTGGAGATGTGCAGAGGGTGGCCATTCCTCCTTTCTGTGTTGGATTTTCTTCTTTTTTTTTTTTTCAGAGGAAATGGAGTGACATGAACATGGGGAAGATTCATTTATTCAAAAACATATCACTGCCCCTAATTTATAACAGGATTAAATATATATATTTAATCCTGTTATAAATTACATATTATATATATAATTTATATATATTAATTATAAATTATATATATAATTTATAATTTATATATTATATATATAATTTTTATATGATGTATGTTATATATATAATTATATATTATATATATAATTTATATATATTATTGATTTCAGAGAGGAAGGGGGAGGGTTGAGAGTGATAGAAACATCAATGACAAGTGAGAATCATTGCATTGGTCAGCTGCCTCTTGCACACCCCCAACTGGAGGTACAGCCCGGGACCCAGGTATGTGCCCTTGACTGGAATCAAACCCATGAGCCCTCAGTCCACAGGCCGATGCTCTATCCACCAAGCAAACTAGCTAGGGCTATAACAGGATTTCAAGATGAAGTCATTTCACGATTTAGTCAGAAAATGGCTACCCATGGTAATGTATTTTTCTGGATACCTCCTGCTGCTGTATTCAACACCTGGCCCTATAAGTCTCTTAGCCAAATGCAGATCATTCTGTATGTCTATTGCTTGGTGGATTCCTTTAGAACTGAGAATGGACAACTGACCATTCCTCAAATCCCCAGGTTGGGTTTTACCTTCTTAGAGTTTGGGCTCTTTTGAAGAAAACATTTTTTTTGTATCCTTATGAGATACACTCTATATTATCCTGAATTTAGAAATGGTTTGTGTTAAAAATATCTTTTCTGGATTTGAAAAAAAAATTATTTTGTGGCCAAACTCAAGTTACTTGGGCCAATGACTAGCTGACTAGCTATTCTGCTGGGTTTCCCCTCCAACCTCATCATTTCAGCACCCTTGTGAGGGTTGAGAATGTAATCCATAAATTAATAAAATTTCCAGCAAACTTATTTGTCTAGAATTTCTCTGAACAGGGAAATTAGAAGGACATGAACGCCCGTGACCCAAGTGAACGCGTTGGGTATGAGTTGACATCGAACTTACAGAGTAACTGGACAATTCTCTAAAACTGTATTCCTACATTAAGTTTTCTGTCTCTTTTTTACAGCAAACATTTCTAAGACAATATTTGAAATCCACACTCAAACACATCATTAGCCAACACTTCACCCTTAGAGACCAGTGTACCTGTTATAGATTTGCAGTGTGCTTTGGGGGAAAAAAAGCTATTTAGCTTGAGCATTGTACTGTCATTGGGGTGACTAGCAAAAGAGAAAAGTTGTACGCAGTTCAACAGAAAAAAATAGGGTTGAGTCTCATTTCTGAAAAAAAGGCAGAAAAACTTTAATAAAGGATCATTTCTCATCTCAGGAAAGAATTCTGAGCAGGGAAAGTATAAACAAAAGGTATTTTTGAAATGGAAGAGAAAGATTTTATCTAAAAGCCTCCAATCCAGATATGCTGACCAACCAGAAATGCTCAGGTAATTTCAAAGCCAAACACCAAATACAGACATAAAATAGGGGTGTCTTCATATGTTGAGATAGTGGTCTCATGCCTCTAAATTCTCATATATAATTCACTGTAACTGTTAAAGGAGAAAGAAGAAAACCCAGCAATGCTCGGACAAAAAAAAAGGAAGTGTATAAACAAGCAAAATCAAAATAATATAAAAGATCCACCCAAATACACCACAAAACAGATGCAATTTTGCGTTCTCACTGAGCTCTCTGAATGCGGGAAGAGTTGTGTTCACCCTGATATCCCTGGCTTTGGGCTTTGTATGTAGCTCTGGGTTAATGTGTCTGTATGTGTGCATGTGTACACATGTATGCATGCACCCACGTTCACATGCATATGCACACACAATATGCATTGACCAAAATTCTTTGGTCATGTGAGGTTAGTCACTAAGGCAACCACATAGGACGCATACATAATTGCATTTTATACTGACGTGCTTGTCAACTGATATAGCCAGTAAGAGACATATACCTTATAGGACTGGAGGTGATATCAGGGTCACGTGCGGTCACTTGCCCAATCACGGAGTTCAGAGCTGCATTTTCGTGAACTTCGAGGAGATAAGTGGGTGAAGAGAAGACAGGAGGCTCATCAGCATCCTCAACGACAATTTTGACCGTGGCCGTGTCTTTAAAGGGCCCCCTGCCGCTGAAACGTGGGTCGACGTGGACATTGGCCGCCTCCACCTTCAGCGTATAGGATTTCTTGGTCTCAAAGTCCAGAGGCTGTTAAGAAATGACAAAGATGAATGTTGCTCACTAATGACCACAGCAGCAAGAACAAATGAGTGTAATGCTGATGGATGAGCGTTATGTGCATGGAAGCCCATTTGTGAGCCTTAATGGGATCCCTCTCCATTCCCCCAGATCCAACCTGTAAATCCTACAGGCATTTTATGGATATCTGCGTATTATACAAGCTCGGTGAATCTAACCTCCTATTGTTGTGTTTTTGTTTTGCTCATTTCGCTTGGAAATTCACAAAATATTCGCAGTCATGAATTGTGCCATCAAAATTTCACTTCAGAGTCATAATAAAATTTTACTAGTGATAACATGACCTGCATACCAATCAGCCAGTTAATTGAGCCTCTGCTGGGAGGAGATAAGGCAGCATCAAACACCATCTCGATCTGGGAAGAATATTTTAGCATTTCTGCAACAGTGTGTGAAATGTGAAGAACGAGAAATAATCATTGTTTAGGGCAAGGAGACATTATAAAGCATAATTTAGCACTAATCTCCACAAAGAGTGTTTTCTTATTTCACTTGCAAAGCATTGCTGCTCGGCTGATCATGTGGCTAAAAATGAGGTTTAACATTTATTTTTTATTTTTTAAATATATTTTTATGGATTTCAGAGAGGAAGGGAGAGGGAGAGAGAGATAGAAACATCAATGATGAGAGAGAATCATTGATCAGCTGCCTTCTGTATGCCCCACAACAGGGATCAAGCCAGCAATCCAGGCATGTGCCTGACCAGGAATCGAACCATGACCTCCTGGTTCATAGGTCAACGCTCAACCACTGAGCCATGCAGGGCTGCAAGGTTTATTTCTTTTTTGGGGGGGGGCGCGAGGGAGGGTATTCTTAGAAGTTCTCTATGATGAGTTCTGTGCTATGAAGCAGGTGAGCATGTAAAGAAATACATATGCAGACACATATGTACTTGTGTTTATATTTAGAAGAAGGAAAGATGAGAGCGGTAGCTATAGCTCTCTAGGTCTCACCAACCACTAAAAGCAAATTGAAATGACCTCATTGCACCATTACTGACAATATTTTTGACATATTAATAACTCATTCCTTAAAAGCCCCAGAGACTGTGGTTAATGACCTAGGTAAATATAGCTGGGTGAAAGAACATAATCCCCTTTAATAACCAGAGGGCATCTGTTTTGCAACCCTACGGTCCAATTCCCGGCAACACAGAATACTTCAGACTTCAAGAAAGTACATCTGTCAAGGTTCAAAGATACACTTTAGGTTTCTTTGCAATTTCCACTAAGAAACAGAACTTTACATCTGCAATGCAGATTTTAAAAAGAAGAGAAGAAGCTGGAACACAGACCAGCATTCACGAACTCTTTCAGAACTCCTGTATAAGTTTATCTATCATTTCAAATTTTTGTATTGATTTTTATAGTTGAATTCAGCTTTCATGGGACTTGACTTTTTTTGAAATATTTTCTAGGGAACAAGGCACATGCTCACTTCCCTGTCTATTCTGAAATGACTGGGTGCGTGTACCTGTGAGTAGATGATTCAACATCAGCGATTTGCCAACCATCCCTACTGTAACACGTATGCAATTTCAAGTTCTTCAGAAACACTGGTAAGTGCGACAGATTATGTCCCGTTTCATTCTTAGCTCACATAGTGACAATGTCCCCCACAATCCTGGTGTCCTTAGGATTGTATCAGACAAAAAAGAGGTCCCATGAATCGTGGAAATATGACACAATGCTCTCTAGAGTAAAATACATGTGTTTTCTTGGTGTTAAAATGTGTAGTATATGCTTCTAAGTTTATGAATAATTGTGAAGAAAAATACAGCCAATGGCTAATTGCTTCAGCTTATAAAAGCACCTTATGGCAACAACGGAGAGCAGTTAGTAATAACAATAAAAATGACATTAGAAATCATTAGCCAAGGAAAATGTGGCTTTGGGTTATTCAATAATTGACTCAAGCATAATTATACTGTACTCCATTTTTAAATACTTTGCAATGCTTAATCCTGTGCTCAAGCCATGTATAAAGGTAGGGTTGCTCAACAGAGAGTTGAAATAAATGCACCATTTTTCTCAAAATTGATCTTAAAATGTATTTTGTATACAAAGGTGAGTCCAGAACATGCCAGGTTCCCACTGCCACTGTCTCTTCAACGGGGGGATTTTAAGAGCATGATCAGTGGATGGCAGATCCCTGTGCAACATAACATAGAATTACAGAGTACATTTGGAGCTATTTCAGTGTAATACTGATCAGGACAGAGGGGAAAACGATGGGCTCCCAATGGTGTGGTTCACCATCTATCTTCTTATTCATGAACAAGCAAAACTTTTTAAAAACTAGCGACCTGGTGCACGAAATTAATGCACAGGAAGGGGGGGTCCCCTCAGCCCGGCCTGTGCCTTCTTGCCATCTGGAACCTCTCTGGGATGTCCGACTGCCGGTTTAAGCCCAATCCACAAACCGACATCCTTCTCGAAATTCCCTGGCTCCTAACCAATGGCCTGCCTACCTGCCTGCCTGATCGCCTCTAATCCCTCTGCCTGCCTGACTGCCCCTAACCACTTGCCTGCCTGCCTGATCACCCCTAACCTCTTGCCTGCCTGCCTCATTGCCCCTAACCACTCTGCCTGCCTGCTTCATCTCCCCTAACTGCTTGCCCTTTCTGCCTAATTGCCCCTAATCACTCTGCCTCCCTGGCTGATTGCCCCTAACTGCTCACCTGGCTGCCTAATCACCCCTAACCGCCTCTGCCTCTGCCCCCGCCACTGCGGATTCATCTGGAAGGATGTCAGGAATGACATCTGGAAGGTTGTTCGGCTGTCTGGTCTAATTAGCATAATACACTTTTATTATTATAGATTAATTTGGATTACTTTATGACAGAGATATAAAGGACAACATTCATCTAAATACCCATGATGAGCCTGGCTGGTGTGGCTTAGTGGTTGAGCATTGACCTATGCACCAAGAGGTCATGGTTTGATCCCTGGTCAGGGCACATGCCTGGGTTGTGGGCTCGAACCACCATCCAGGGATGTGCAGGAGGCAGCCAATCAATGATTCTCTCTCATTGTTGATGTTTCTATCTCTCTCCCTTTCCCTTCCTCTCTGAAAACAATAAAAATGTATTAAAAAGAAAGACTTCAGTGTGATTTGTGGAGACATACCAGGAAGTAGGAGGACAGACATGGGGAGAATTAATATAGAGAAAGATTAAAAGCCATTGAACTTGCCACCTCTGTGGGCAAGTGAGGCCTCTTCCCACTGGAAATCCTCTTCGGAACCATAGATAATAGGCCTCCAAATAATTTCTTCAGAGAATAGGAGCTGTCCCCCTATCTGCATCCCTCATTGCTTGAGGGTTGCCTTTCAAGTGTTGGGTTGCCTTTCAAGTGTTTAGTTCCCTACAAATGCCTGCAGTTTTGGAAAAGGCAGTGTGATGTAGATGGGAGAGATAAGGTGAGATTGGTGGCTAGCATCACCATGGTAACTCTTTCCCAGAGCTTTAGCTGATATGTAAAGTGAGGCCAAGAGGTATGAGGTGTAAAATTAGATCCACTTTTTCTGCAGCTAAAGAAGAGACACCTCTATCAGCTCTAAGACTTCACCAGGAAGTCCACCCAACTCCCGCAAACCCCAAAAACTCAAGTTTCCAAGAGGTATTTTGAATGTGAACAAAATCTTCCTTAGCTTACCTTTCTTAGTCTTATGATGCCATCCTGGGCCTGGGCATCAGAGGTGATTTCAAAGAGTGCTGTTCCATCCCCATCAATGATGTCATACGATGACTGCGCATTTTCACCAATATCCTGATCATTGGCCTTTACCCTGCCTATGGCAGTGCCAAGAACCACATCTTCAGGTACTGAGAAGTGATACAGACCTTAGAAAAGAGGAGAAACACTGAGCATGATGCAAATTCCATTCATTCATTCATTTAGCAAGCATGTATTGGGCACCTCCTTTGTTCCGGGAACTCCTGTAAATGCTACCACTACAATGTGGAAAAGATTTTAAAAAAGTAATTTTTGTTGTGGAATGCACAATATTTTAAATGAGTCAGAGACAGAGTTCCCAGAAGTAGTGAGCTCTTTTTGAGACTCTTCTCAGAGATGGAATTGATCCTATCACATGTGTACCAAGTGTGCAGTTGGAGCAGAGTTATAGCAGGATATTAGTGAATCTGTGTGAATGTTCTTTGCAATGGACTGTACAATCACATTGGCTGCCCGTGGGGCTCTTCGTTGTTGCCCAACATAAAACAGGAAGCTAATTTCAGCACAGGAAGATGCAATGTGCAACACACAGAAAGTCACTTTTGAAGCGGCCTCTGTATTTACAGACTCGGAGACCATTTTTGATAAAACCCAATTACTAAACTTCTGCTGTGCCCTGCAGCAAGCTGTTCTGACACATGAAACACTCCTCTTGCTACCAAAGTCCTTCCTCGTGGCTCTGAACACCAGCAATCCGACTTTCCAGACTCTCTAGGCAAAAGGCAATTACAGTGCGTGTTCCTTCTCCGGTGGGGGCCGTAAAACATGGCTAATTAGCGGCATCTTAATTCCAGTCGCTTTAGCTGTTGCCTTCGTGTTAACTCCTTCTCTTTGGCGGAGGGGAAGCTTTTGGAAACGTAACCCCTGGCTATTACCACTTCAGTGCATGTGTGCCCTACATTTCATGGCCGACTCCTGCGTTTATTTGCCTGAGGGTTTTCTCTGCCTTTCAGAATTCACTTTGGCCCCTGCCTGTCAGACCAGAACTGGAGAGAATGAATGCCCCATGGAAGCAGCCCTCAAACACTCACAGGAGTTCCTAGCCCAGCTTCCTCCCTTCTCTGGTAGGGTAACACTTCTCCTTTTTTTTTCCTTTTGCTTGTTTATTTAATTTACAGTGTTCCAGAGTTTCCCCAGTGGGATCAGCTCCAGTCACCCACAGTGGTAGCTGGCTTGATAATGTGCATCTTGGCTCCCTGTCTTTCTCACACACATCCTCACTTCCCTCCTGGCATTTCTTGGCATCATCTCCAAGATAAACTACTTCTAATCCAATTCTTGTCTCAGTGCCTGTTTCTGGGGGAATCCAAACCCAGACAACCAGGAAGTTTTAGTTTCACTGCAACAAAAACCAGGGGAGAATAAACACTCAATGAACTCTAAACCCAAAAGGAAAAATTACATCTGGAGAACATTACCTAATTGTGGTTTGAACGCGATCACTGGGTCCCTGGGATAAACTCGGGCTCATTTTACCCACTGTAACAGGATTAGTTCAGATGAGATGACGGGTAAGGTTTTCTTGTAGCACGAACACACTTTTATTTAATGACGACAGGAAGATGTCCCTTAGAAGCATGAAATGATGGGACCGGGGAGCAGAATGTTGTCCTAATAGCTTTGCCATAAGGCATGCACTAAAAATCATCATGTTGAGCATAAGTTTCCCGATTCTCTCATAATTGGTGCAATGATTCCATTTCCTTCAGACTTCTTATTCCAGGTAAGGTTTGAGATGCGCCATTCAGGAATAGTTATTAAGTAAATAAGGCAGCAAGGGACCTCAACCTCACTGCCTGTTCTGAGGCAGAGAGCCTTGGGAAACCAAGCAAATGGAACAATTCTTCAGCCATCTCTAGTCTATGCACTCTCATCATCTCCAGCAGTGTGATCATGTTTAATGGTTATTACCTCTAAAAAAGTTATTAACACTTCTGAAACTCATCTGCCACCGCTGAAGTGAAACAATCCTTTTTGCAAGAAAGAAGAGTTGCATCTTAGAGCATTAACTCTAATGGCAACTGAAACATTATGCTAAGTGAAATAAGCCAGTCAGAGAAGGATAAATACCACATGATCTCACTCATTTGTGGAATATAATGAACAACATAAACTGATGAACAAGGACTGATCCAGAGACGGAGAGGCATTGATTGGACTGTCTGGCCTTGGAGAGAAGGTAGGGGAGGGTGGGGGTAAGGGGGAGAGATCAACCAAAGGACTTATATGCAAGCATATAGGCCTAACCAGTGGACATGGACAACAGGGGGGTGAGGGCATGAGTGGGGGGGGTGGGGGGTAACATGGAGATAAGGACACATATGTAATATCTCAATCAATAAAAAATATATTAAAAAAAAGAAAGAAAACGAAAGAGGAGGTTGGGGGAAGGATAGGAGAAATGGTGTTTCTCCATTCCAATAACGTTGTGAGAGGGGGTTGCCTTGTTGCCTGATTTATGAATGGCCAGATGTGCCATTTCTCAGTCAAAATGCATCTTCAATGTTCTTTCGACCTTGGGATTTCTGAAGATACATTCTCAAAGGTGCCTCAACTGTGTCATTTTCAATCCCACCTCTGTCTCTCTCCCCGTCTTTCTCTTTGTCCTCTCTTTCTTCAAAAACTGGTTCTCCTATGGTATTTCCTATCCCAGCAACATGTACCAGTATGCATCGAATAGTCTTTCGTGTCAGAAATATGATAATTCACCTCCTCAACTAAATTCACCTCCTCTTAGATTTTTGTTATCATAACTTCTCAAATATCTATGGCAACTCTGCACTCTTCTCCACTTCCACTGACACCACCCTGGCTGGCCAAGGCTACCATCACTTTTGACATGCATGACTACAACCACCTGTTAACTGGCTGCATTGTGCGGAAGACAGTGGGCAAAGGCCAGCTTTCCTTTTCTCTCCCTGAAATCAAATCCTATTACTCAAGCCACCACTTGAAATCTTTTCTCTCATTTTTTTCAACTTAATTTTTTTAAACATATATTTTTATTGATTTCAGAGAGGAAGGGAAAGGGAGAGAGAGAGAGAAACACTGATAGAGAGAATCAATGATCAGCTGCCTCCTGCACACCACCTACTGGAAATCAAGGCCTCAACCTGGGCATGTGCCCTGACCAGGAATCGAACCATGACCGACTGGTTCAAGGGTCACTGCTCAACCACTGGGACACACTGGCCGGGCTCATCTTTAAATCTTTTAATGCTTTTTAGTGATGTTAGGATAAAAGTCATGGTACATAGAATGGACTCCAAATCCAATACATCTAACTCTTGCCTAACCTTACTCTCCAGCTTCTGTGCTTCCCCTGCCGTGAAATTCTATCCATTCCTATCCAGGGCCCTACACCCTTCTTCTACAGGGTGTTTGGACAGCCTTTTCCTCTAGGTGCAATGCCCATCCCCCAATCTCTTGCTTTTACCTTGTCTCAGCTAGTTCCTAATTATCATTCATACCTCAACTCAAGAGCCTCCATGTCAGAAAGACCTTCCCCAATCATATTTCTAGGTCAGGTTACTTTGACAAATACTCAAAAGAAAAGGGATTCAATGAGAGTACAAGAACGTTGGCAAATGATGACCGTCTCCCTGATTCATTGAAGGTGGTTGCCTAGAAGGCCATGGAGAGGTTTCTGAGGCCGACCATGTCCTTAGCAGGGAAGAGTTGAGTCAGTGATCACTGATGTTCCTGCAGCTGAGGAAAAGTATATATTTTGCAGCAAATGTATATGCCTTTTCCACCTCCGATGCTAAAGATTTGGTTTATTTTATATGACAAGTAGGACTATTGATAGAACAATATCTGAGGTGCATTTAATCACGCTATCAAAATTTCTTAATGGAAGGAACCTTGAAATAGAGAAATACGCTCACATCTTGCAGTTTGAGCTCCACTACTTAACTACATACTTAATATTTGGAAATTATTTCAATTGATTTAAACTTTGTAAAATGAGGGTGCATTTAATACCAAATGACAAGAGGGTTGCTTGCTTTGTGCATATATGTGAATTGCCCTACCTTGTATATAATCCACAGTAAAAGATGGCAATGGGCTCTTTGGATATTTATAATATACATTTGAATTTTATAATATAATTATAATATACATTAATTATAATATAAGTATAAATAATGAAACATATAACATAAATTCGAATGCCAACATCACACTTAGATTCTCATCCAGTGCAGGAAACTCACTTACTTTGGGCAAATTTTGGAGGATTGTCATTAACATCAGTAAGAGTCACTGTCAGTGTCGTGGTCCCGGACAGGCCCCCGGAGTGGCCACCCATGTCTTTGGCTTGGATGACGACCAGGTACTCCTCCTTGGCTTCTCTGTCCATGTTGGGAAGGGCAGTTTTTATAATTGCTGATGGAGAGAGAAATGGGAGAATGACTTTCAGGCAGACAGCTCATTCAAAAATAAATGTGTGAAACAAACTCTCTCTCTCTCTCTCTCTCTCTCTCTCTCTCTCTCTCTCTCTGACACACACACACACACACACACACACACACACGCACGCACACCCCACACACATACATAAACACATACAAGTCCCCGCTCACACAATTTTCAGTTTTCTTTTGACATTTCACTGGTGTGTGTTTGTGATGCCAACACTAAGGAAGATTAGAATCATAGACAGCAGTAGATAACTTGCAAAAATCCATTTTATCACATTTTTTTAAAAACTTGCAAAAATATACATTCCAAAGTAAATCGAATGGCATACTCTTGCCTCCCAAATTAAAGTATAAATCACAACACAGCCTCATCTACCGAGGGAAACCCTGGAAGTAAAAGAATCCTACAATTTATCACAGGCTCCAATTCCCCTACAGGAGGAGTAAATACACAAATAGCTTGAAGGCTCTGAGGTCAAAGATAAATTATTCTGATGCTCACAAATACATTTGAGAAGAAAAAAGTAAATGCATTTTTGGAATCAACTCAGATGAATTAGATACCAATCAGAATTCATATAGGCGAGTGTCTAAATCCCAAGGTACTATGTGTTCAACTACATTTATACTTTAGGTCCTGAACTTATTTTGAAAATCTGTATTTAGTCCTCTCTCTACCCTTATAATTCTTTTCATAGATAAGCATTGCTAACATATGTGTATAATTCTAAAGCCATACTTGAAAATGCATACAAATGTGCATATGTATATAAACATTTAACCACAAATATGATCATGATATAGGCATTTATTCACACAATGGATGTCTTTGAGATATCTTCTTTTAAATATATTTTTATTGATTTCAGAGAGGAAGGAAGAAGGAGAGCGAGACAGAACATCAATGATGAGAGAGAATCATTGATCAGCTGCCTCCTGCATGTCTCACAATGGGGATCAAGCCAGCAATCCAGGCATGTGCCTGACCAGGAATTGAACCATGACCTTCTGGTTCATAGGTCAATGCTCAACCACTGAGCCACTCTGGCCAGACTGAGATATTTTCTTGTTAGCACATAGAGGTCCAACTTATTACTTCTTATAGGTGCATCCTTGTTCCTTTATGAGTAACTATGAGTAACTTAGTCCCATATTAATGGATATTGCAGTTATTTCCATTTCAGAGAATAGTCATCTAACTTATAAGAATATTATATTTTTTTTCTGTGCCCTGAATTTTTACTTAAGTCTATATCATAGGATGCCCCTCTCCATCTTGCTAAAACCCCATAAGAAAAATGATCATGACTAGCCTAGTATATTCCTATTGATTGGATGTGTGTTGTACCTCTGGCCCAAATGAAAGAAAACTTCCGATTAAAGATAATTCCCCCTTACTTCTAACCCAGGGACATCATAGATGTTCAGTTCAAACTGAGGATGAGCCACACTCTGACACTCCTGAAGTTGTAATTCTGTTTTGTTTTGTTTGTTGCTGTTGTTTTTTTTTAACTCCTATAGTCTAATTAAATCATCTGTCTATAAAAGGTTTGTGAGAAGTTCAAGTCCCTGCATCATTTGAGTAGCTGGTGGGGCCCAAGAGTATCCTGGGAAATCTAATCCACCCAGGCAGTGGGCAGGCTCGGGGAAGAGCTGAGTTCTTACGTACTTTATTTGACCTTGACATAACTTTCATATCAAAGCCTCCCATCCGGGGAGCACTCACTTGGATATCTATGCTTATTTGAAAACACTGATGGTAACATAATAATATCTTTCATTACAATTGTTTGTCTCAGGATTTGATCATATCATACTATAACTCAATACATCACACTTGCAAGGTTATAAACCAAAACAGGAAGAAAAGGAAAAAAAGAAATATAGCCATTACTCAGACTTAGATCACTATCCCTTGATTGTCTCTCTTAACCTGGCCATTTCAATAGATCCTTTGTTGAACTCTCCTCAATGACTCCATTCCTGCCAGAATCTTCTAAGATATGGTTAGAATACCTGTCCGTACCTAAGTGTGAAATGTGGTTCCAGCATGCCATTGTTACACAGACATCTACAGGTAAAATGTATGTCAATGAATAGCCTATGGCTGCCCCAAGGATCGCTCCTTATCTGTGAAACTGAGAATAATACCTATTCACTTAGATTAGTTGCTCAACATGACCCCGCTGGGAAGCTGCACATCTGGGAGACTTCACACCTCCTCTTCTCTTCTGCAACATCTGGAGGAGCTTTCCTGGTTTCTAAAGCAAGCAGGAGCCTCTCCAAAGTTTTGTCAGGGCATGGGGCACATATAATTGGCTTTAATACAAACAATAATAAACAGCGCTTGCTCTGTCTAAGGCCCCCCCACCCCCACACTCACCCCCACCCCCACCCCTTGGCTCTAGTCTCAACCTCACAAGTAGCAGTAACTCATTAGAAAACCCAAGACTGAATTTCTGGAACATTTTTCTGCTACTTGGTGGCTGTAAAGGCAGGAGAGGAAAAACACACAAGTGCCCTTTGCTCTCCTATTTGTTCTCCATTGGGTTGGGACGTGTTCACTTTTTTTGAAATTCCTATTCAAAAGGCAAATCAATCCACTTGCATAAATATTGCAAGATATTGATAAGCTCCTAAAATAGAAATTTTAAAACTGCCTGAAAACGTCCTTCTGCTTCTCCCTAAATCATTTGCTTTGGTTCCCATATTACCCCAAGCCCTAGGAGTCTCAGGCTGTGTCTTCTGTGGGTGAGAGAACTTCCATGTGTATACATACATACACATACATACATATATATGTTGTTTGGTATTACATACCAGCCAACACAGAGCAGAAAATACTCTGTGTGATCAGGCTGTTTTTCCTCTCAGATTTGAGAAATAAAAAAATTTGACCCATTGCCAAAACCGGTTTGGCTCAGTGGATAGAGCGTCGGCTTGCGGACTGAAAGGTCCCGGGTTCGATTCCAGTCAAGGGCATGTACCTGGGTTGTGGGCACATCCCCAATAGGAGATGTGCAGTAGGCAGCTGATCGATGTTTCTCTCTCATCGATGTTTCTAACTCTCTATCTCTCTCCCTTCTTCTCTGTAAAAAATCAATAAAACATATTTAAAAAAAAAATTTTGACCCATGAATACCCCACCCCAAATTTGCTAAAATGTTCAATTAAGAAGCATTTTTATCCATTTTCAACTTTGATTTTTAAAAGGTAGACAGGAACTCCCACTATACTCTTTTCACCAGTATAAACAAATTTAAAACACCTTGCGATGGTGCTAATTTTATATTTTTTAATTTACTGGTTTGAGAGAGAGCCACACATTGGTTTGTTGTTCCATATATTTATACATTCATCAGTTGATTCTTTTATCTACCATGGCCAGGGATTGAATCAGCAACCTTGGCATATGAAAACAATGCTCTAACAACTGAGCTACCCTGTCCAGGGCATGATGGTGCTAATTTTAAATAGCTTCCCTTTGCCCAAAATATGAATTGTGTCTCCTTTTGTCACCGTCATGCTCAACCTCACATGCCTATGTCTCCCACATGCTTATGGTCACACGTTCTCAATGCTCAGAAATGTGTTCATAAACTTAAACGTGATGTTGAAACTCCCATGACACCAACTCGGCAACAGATTCAGGTGTTCAATTTATGGCACTCAGCGTGACAACATTCTTTCTGCTGGGACAGTTAGTAAAACTCCTTGATGTAGATATTTGCTAAATAACCTCACAAAAAATAAAATCAACTTATTTTTTTCCAATGGAAATTTCAGGATTACAACTTGGAGTTGATCCGATGAAAAATATCACCCCTGGTATCTCTGGCTTTTGTAACTTTCCAACACAGGGTTTAGGCTTAGACGCTCTTCACTAGTCCCCCTTGATAAGTCACAGAACATCCTGGGGACCCACCTTTTCCTTGAAAACAGAGGCACTAATGTGTTGAGAAGGAAAAACAAACAAACACAATTGGTGTTCAGGAGGATGAGCAGGTCCCGCTGGATTCTCAATAACATTAAACACAGATTCAATTCAGAAAAGAAATGTAAACAAATACATTTTAGAAGTTTTTCCCTAGAACTTCATTTTGAAAATCTAATCAGAAAAATCAATTAATGAAAACAGCCCATCCTCCATGAATTCAATTCAATGCAGGTATTGAAACTGGCACAGGGGAGCAGGAAAGGGAAGGTCTGGGGATCGAGATGAACGCTGGTAGGAGGATTAAAACAGGGAAGGGGGACCATCTTGCTCTGAAACTGGCATTCACTACCCTACAGTGAACAGTCAATCTGACTGTGACTATAGCTATGAATTAGATTGATGGGTGATGTCTTGCCGGGAGCCGGTCCATGCTTGCTGTTTCAAGGGACCTGGCATATATGGCATACTGTTTTTAATATGTTTGCTCACCTTCTTGGCACTATGTGTTTTAACCAAGGTCTCTGAGAAAGGTTGTTTCCCCAGGTAGGGATTTTCCCCTGAAGTTAGGGAGGGAATAAAACCTCTTAACTAAGTGCCAGGCGGGTAATTAATCATTTTAACTACGAACAATCATGCTTAAGCTACATAATCTTTACTCCCTGGAATGGAGATAAGAAACTCCCTAACCTTTGAAATAGAGATTGATAGGATTGGAATCAACTGGTATAAATACAGATGTAAGAAGACAGAACCAAGAGAGACAGAACCTAGGCACAGAACCTACACAGAAAGTTCTCTAGAGACAGAAGAACTTTGCTGGAGAGAACATGGCAAAAGATCCTGGACAGAAACTGGCCTCAGAAACTAGAGACAGAACCTAGCGAGAGAACATGGCAAAAGATCCTGGACTGAACCTGACTACAGAAATTGGCAAGAGAACCTGACTAGAACCTGGTGACTGAACCTGGCTGGAGAACCTGGAGATCCTAAGCAGAACCTCTCTGGAGATCCAGACCAGAACTTGGCTG